GCCTGGGTGCTGTCTCTGAGCACTTTCGCTCAAGGCTACCATCACAGGAAAGTCTCTGGCTTTGAACTGCTATTCTTAGATCTGAGCCTTGTGAGAAGCTAGAATGTAGGCATGAGCCATAGGCACTTGGCTTGTTCAGTGTAATTTTAGAGATCTTACCCCAATCATTGAGGATATTCACATCTTTTTATTTCTATCTTAAAAATGAAATCCTTTCTATCTTGAAAATGAAATATGATCTGGTTTTAGACTGGTTCTACTTTTTTCTCATTTCAAGAAGAGGTTTTAATTCATAAGCCATAAAACCCACCCTTTAGGCTGGGCACTGGTGACTCACGCCGGTAATCCTAGCTATCCCAGGAGGCTGAGAGCTGAGGATCATGGTCCATGAGACTCTTATCTCAGTAAACTGGAAGTGGCACCATGGCTCAAGTGGTAGAGCACTCTCCTTGAGCTGAAGAGTGGAGGGACAGCACTCAGGCCCAGGGTTTAAGCCCCATCACCACCCCCCCCCAAAAAAAAATGGTTCATCCTGTCAATTTTTGATTTAAAGTTGTGTGTAAATATCACCAGACTATTTCATCACGCAAATAGAAACTATTTTTTTTTTTTTTTTTTTGTCTGTCGTGGGGTTTGAACTCTGGGCTTGGGTGCTGAACCCTCATCTCTTCAGCTCAAGGCTAGCACTTTACCACTTGAGCCACAGCACCTACTTCTGGCTTTTTCTGTTTATGTGGTGCTGAGGAATCGAACCCAGGGCCTCATGCATGGGAGACAAGCACTCTACCACTGAGCCACCTTCCCAGCCCCATAGAAACTCTGCTTTTTAGCAGACGTTCTCAATTCTCATCTTTTCTGTCCTTGACCCTTAGTGTATTTTTGGCTTTTGTGGATTTGTCTATCCTAGACATTTAGTAAAAATGAATCTAATATGTGGCGTTTTGTGTATTCCTTCTTTTACTTTAAAGATTTGTCCATTTTGTGTTTTTATTTCATCCCATTTTTGTTAATATTACATCCCCCCCCCCCTTTTTTAATTGTTTGCGGGGCTTGAACTCAGGACCTGGGTGCTGTCCCTCAGCTCTTCAGCTCAAGGTGAGCACTCTACCACTTGAGCCACAGCGGAGTCTCAGACTTTCCTGCCTGGGCTGGCTTTGAACCACAATCCTTGGATCTGAACCTCCTGAGTAGCTAGGATTATAGGCATGAGCCACCTGTGATCCACATTTTATCTGTTCATTATTCAATGCACATTTATGTTTTGTTTGTTTTCACTTTTTGGCTGCTATAAATATACACCTAATGGAGCTACTTAATCCATATTTATCATGCTTGAGAGTAAAGCACAGGGTCTTGCACATGCTAGTGAAGTAGTACGCTACTATTATTGAGCTATATCCTCAGCTTGTCTTTAACTTTTGTTTTGGTCTTTAATGTTTTTTTTTTTTTTCTTTGGTCCGGTTGTGGGGCCTGAACTCTAGGCCTGGGCGCTGTCTCTTAGCTCTTCAGCTCAAGGCTAGCACTCTACCTACCACTTGAGCCACAGAGCCACTTCTGGCTTTTTTCTTTTTGCTTATGTGGGTCTGAGGAATCGAACCCAGGGCCTCGAGCATGCAACGCAAGTGCTCTACCACTGAGCCACCTTCCCAGCCCCGGTCTTTAATGTTTTGAAGATCTCCCAGACTTGTGTAAAGTCCTGCATTTTTCTTTTCCAGGAGCATTACATGGGGTTCCATTTTCGCCTCATCCTTACTAAACAGTCATTCCTTTTTGCTTTTAGCCATCCTTGTGTGTGTGAACTTGTTTTGATTTTACAAAGTAATAATAGTGAATACCTTTCCATGTGTTAGTTTCAATATGCTTGGAGGACTATCTGTTGAAATTTTTTTTGGGGGGGCGGGTCCTGTCGTGGGGCCTGAACTCTGGGCCTGGGCACTGTCCTTCAGCTCTTCAGCTCAAGGCTAGCGCTCTACCACTTGAGCCACAGCGCCAATTCCGGCTTTTTTTCTTTTTGCTTATGTGGTGCTGAGGAGTCAAACCCAGGGCCTCAGGCATGCAAGGCAAGTGCTCTACCACTGAGCCACCTCCCCAGCCCCTCTGTTGAAATTTTTTGACTTGCAGTTAAAAAAAATTAATGTTCTTTACCATAGGTTCAACTTGTACTATATTTAATCTTTATGAAAAGTAAATAACATCTTAATTTTAGTGTTTGTACCTCTTCCCTATATTTAACTTAAATCGATAATCATACCTAGAAATTTAAGGATAAAACTTTTTTTTTTTTTTTTTTTTGCTGGTCGTGGGGCCTGAACTTTGGGCCTAGGTGCTGTCCCTCAGCTCTTCAGCTCAAGGCTAGCTATTATATATATATATATGTATGTATGTATGTACGTATGTACGTACGTACGTACGTGTGTGTGTGTGTGTGTAACTCTTCCTTTAACCTTACATTTTTGTTCTTTGCAGATTGTGAATCGGCACGGTCCTGAGGCAGACAGGCATTTATTACGCTGCCTATTTTCACATGTTGATTTCAGTGGCGATGGTAAAAGCAGTGGCAAAGATTTTCATCAGGTATTTGGGATTTACAAAGCTTATGTCCAAAGCTCTTTTTTTTGTTTGGGTTTTTTTTTTTTAAACTGTATTTTTTTTTGTCTTTTCTTTTCTTTTTTTTTTGGTACTGGGGATCGAACCCAGGACATTTTACTTGCTAGGCAAGCGCTTTGCCACTGAGCTACATCCCAGCTCATGTCCAAAGCTCTTAATTGTTCAGTCAGTTGCAATTTTGTGTATAATGTATGTTAGAAAATAGCATCCAGGAAATCATCTCTGGTTAAATAAATGATACTGAGGACATTTCCCTTTTTCTATTCTCTTCTTTTTGCTTGGCTGTAAACCATCAGAGCTATTAATTTAAAATTAAACTGCTGGTGTCAGACCTGTACCTGCCTGAGAAAAAGCGGAATGGGGTGTATTGCTTGACTAGTAAAGCATAGAAGGTATTTCTTGTGTGAATTGAGTCTTTTTGGCTTATTAATTTTATAACAGTTAATCGCAGTATTGTTTGTATCTTATTAATGAACACTTTTTTTGGGGGGGGGTTGTTGTGAGGCTTGAACTCAAGTCCGGGGCACTGTCCCTGAGCTTTTTCGCTCAAGGCAAGTGCTCTCCCACTTTGAGCCATAGTGCCTATTCCAGTTTTCTGGTGATGAATTGGAGATAAGAGTCTCCCAGAGTTTGACTGCCTGGGCTAGCTTTGAACCACAATCTTTAGATCTCAGCCTCCTGAGTAGCTTAGGATTACAGGTATAAGCCACCAGCACCCAACATGAACTCTGTTTTGTGGAAGCTTTGGTTTAATACTTGTTGATAATAGATGATGAATAGTTTAATAGAATTTTCCAAGAACTGACTTTTTTCTTTTTTTGCTTATAGGTGTTATTTTTTATGAACTATAGTACAAAGGAGCATCTATACATGTCAGTTTATGTGTACAGTGCATCTTGATCAGTTTTGCCCAATTAGAATCTTTTCAAAGAAAGGCTGATGAGTTAGTTGGTGGAAGGTTGATTCTGAGATAGTAAGTCAAGTAATGACTGATCTAGAATAAGGACAAATATATGTAGATATACACACACACATACAAGATATACAAATCATATATTGTTTATAACACATGCATAATATATCTACATATATGTAACAGTATATGATACCCATCAATCAAGAAGTGTATAATGACATAACTTCAGGACTTCAGTAGAGTTGGGAAAGATTGGGGAGACATGAAAGAGGTGACATTGATCAACATACATTGTATTTAGCAGGGTGCTGGTTGCTTATAACTCTAATCCCAGTTACTCATGAGGCTGAGATGTGAGGATCACAGTTTGAAACTAGCTTGAGCAAAACAGTCCATAAGATTCTTTTTTGTTGTTGTTGTTGTTGTTGGTTGTGGGGCTTGAACTCTGGGCCTGGGTGCTGTCTCTCAGCTCTTCAACTCAAGGCAAGTGCTCTATCACTTGAGCCACAGTGCCACTTCCAGTTTTCTAATAGTTTATTGAAGATAAGAGTCTCACGGACATTCTTGCCCGGGTTGGCTTTGAACTTCAATCCTCAGACCTCAGCCTCCTGAGTAGGTAGGATTACAGGTATGAAACACTAGTGCCCAGCTCCTTAAGATTCTTATCTCTTAGCTATGAAAAAGCCAGAAGTGGAGTTGTGGTCAAGTGGAAGAGTTCTAGCCTTGAGCAAAAAAAGCTGCATGACTGAGTTCAGGTCCCAGTACCAGCGTGCATGTGCTGAAACCCATTTGTATGACTACTTAAGATAATACTTTCATCCTTTTAAAAAATTTCTATAAGCATGAATAGACTATAATTGGTCTAAAACTAGATTTCCTATGTCCTCAAATTACTATCACTTACCTGCTTTTCAATTCACAATGTTTTTTCTTTACATTGACTCTAAATATCACTCTACATTAGTGCTTACTCAGTGTACATTCTCTGGGTTTTGAGAAATGTTGAATAAGAAATATCCACCATTATGGCAGCATATCTTAAGAGTTTCACTGACCTAAAAACCCTTTCCTCCTGTTTTTTTTTTTTTCCTTCTTTCTAGCCCTAATGTTTTATTGTCACCACTGTTTTGCCTTTTATAGAAAGCTCTATAGTTGGAATCATAAGGTATAGCCTTTCCGGATTGGCTTCTTTCAGTTAATAACTTACAGTTAAGATAATGGCTCATTTAAAAAAATTGTTTTCATAGAATTGATTTTGATAAATAGTATGCAGCATGAAATCGTTCTTTAATGTTTTGAGATCCTGTGCTTTATTTGTGTAAGGTGATGATCAGTCAGTGCTAATAGCAATTCATTTTTTTTTTATTTTTAAAGACACAGTTTCTGATTCAGGAGTGTGCGTCGCTGATTACAAAGCCAAATTTTATCTCGACATTGTCATATGCCATTGATAATCCATTGCACTACCAGAAGGTTGGTATTATTTTTATCTAAGTAGTCCTAAGACTGGGATAGCTTGCTCTTCCATTTTTGTTAATTTGCCCAAGTAGACTTCAAACTCTTGGTTCTCCTACTTCTGGCTCCCAAGTGCTGGGTTAAAGATGTTTGCTAGTAGCCTCTCTAGAATATCATTTCCCTTCCTTTTTATTTTAGTCGGTTGTGGGGCTTGAACTCTGGGCCTGGGTGTTGTCCCTCAGCTCTTCAGCTCAAGGCGAGTGCTCTACCACTTGAGCCACGGCAACACTTCTGGTTTTATGGTGGTTAATTGGAGATAAGAGTCTCATAGACTTTCCTGCTTGGGCTGGCTTTGAACCTCGATCCTCAAGTCTCAGCCTCCTGAGTAGCTTAGGATCACAGGCATGGGCCACTGGCACCCAGCCTCATCTTCCTTCCTTTTTTTTTGCGGGGGGGGGGTCCGGTTATGGGGCCTGAACTCTGGGCCTGGGCGCTGTCCCTCAGCTCTTCAGCTCAAGGCTAGCGCTCTACCACTGGAGCCACAGCGCTACTTCTGGCTTTTTTTTTTTCTGCTTATGGGGTGCTGAGGAATTGAACCCAGGGCCTCATGCATGCAAGGCAAACGTTCTACCACTGAGCCACCTGCCCAGCCCCTCATCTTCCTTTCTTTCTTTCTTTTTTTTTTTTTTTGTCGGTCGTGGGGCTTGAACTCTGGGCC